GGCTTTGTGCCAGGCAACTTTTTAATATGGGCCTCTCTATATATTGGAAGTTGTAAGAAGCAGCAAAATTCAGAAGCTTGAACTGTGAGCATAAAAGCAAGATAAGTCCCTTAGTGTGAGCTGTAAGTTTATTTTCTCAATAAATGAATCTTGCACATAAATATGACCGTGTTTTGGCAACAGTGTGAGCTACGTGTCAGTCTGTTATAAGAGCAGTGAGAAAGTGAAGAAGCAAATGAACACAGGGAGCAGATGAGGTATGTGACATCTCCCAGATTCAGTTGGGGTCAGCTGGCAAATTGTACTTCTTTATTTGSCTTCTCTGTCCTAATGAGATGAAAWCTGATGAGAACTGGCTGTATTTTCAGTGTATTTAGCTGTGTCTTGTTGTGAATCTCTTATTCAACCATATCGGAGGACAGCCTGACCTACAAGGAGGTTTCCTGCAAATAAGCTCCAGCTACTCCTCAGCTTTATTAATATTCTTGCTGACATATGTGAAACTTCAGCTCTGGCCACTCTTCAGCTCTGTAGTTTTGTGCTAAGAACTAGAATCCTTGGATACATCTGTGCAAAAGCTGGACAAACATATGCCTTAAAAATGTTTTGCAAATGTATTGTTTTCTTATAGTGCTAAAACCGAYGAAATTCAATACAGAGAGGGTGCAGTTTGCACACTCTGACTGTTTATGTAGAGCAGTTTTCCCCAAAGCAGAAAGGCTGGAGGTTCTGGTGCTGGCATGGCCCTGCTTTTGGCTTTACTGCCAGTCAAACTTTATTTTATGGAATGTGTCCTAGGACACCTGGATGAACCGAAGGTGTTAGCTGTGAGYTTGGTCAGCTCATTGTCTGCTGTAGCATTGACCATTTCATACTTCAGTCACTTGCTTTGCGTCTTTCTCTTTATGAAAAAGGACTTTTGCTGAGATTGTAATCATGGATCTCTTAATTGACTACCAATGTTCATTTTAGGAATGAGTAAGAACTATAACATAGTGCACAGTCAATCTAAGAAGTGCACTCAATCAAAGTGAATAGGAGCACAGGATTTCTAACTCTGAGCATATACTAGCCCAAGTAATTAAATATTTCTTTTTTTCTTTTTTTTAATTGAAACTTCTATGGGTATCTCTTTGTGAATATAAGTTGTATCGAGCTCAGTGAAGCATCCTGGATACAATTCTGCATTTCTTTCCACCTGATGGAGTAATTTCTTTCTGTATAAGAAGATCTCATGCAGCTGTGGTTGCATTTTGCAGCTGTAAAGGCTGGTAAGAGTTGCAAAGAGTATGAAGAACCATGCCTAATGTGTCAGAGCCATCAAATGAAAATTGTCTAGTGATTTAAGCATTTGCTACYATTTCAAGGGCTTCCCACCTGGTTAGAAATTTATGGTGACAAAAATGAGATGAACTGCTTTTAAAAGGCATCTTCTGAGAGCTGCTCAGCACTCGTGCCTTGCTAGCTGCTCACCTGAGTTATGCTTCCTCTCAGGAGAGCAATGCTGGGGAATGCCAACTCTCTCCCACTTGCACCTTTTCTGGCAGGTCTTTGAAATGCATTCTTGTCCCTCATCCCCGCTTAGCACTAAAAGGTCACAGCAAGTACATGGTCCTTCTGGTATTTAAGACAGAATTTGCTGTCAGGTTTTTCTAAACAACTACCATCACCCTGACTTGGAGCTTCTGTTGCATGCACTGAATTAAGTAGCTCTCTTGRAGGGAAAAGCACTGCTGGGATTAGGATGATCAGTGATCAAGTGGGCTTTGTAAACGCTATTACTAGGGATTCTTGCTAAAGAGTCTTATGATAATTGCTTGAGTGGCCAGGAATTCCTCCTTCAGGTACAGCTAAGGGGAATCATTAGGGATGGGGAAAATGGAGGAGATAGAGCATTGCTCTGCATGTGGCAGAAAATGAGCTTATCCTTCCTTACTTTGCCTCATTTAGATCTCCTTCCAAAAGGAGATTCATAGTCAATGTGTGGAAGCTTTGCATAAGGGAGAGGTGTTTCTGTTTTTCTTCTTATTCCTATGGTAATACGATTTCAGTACTACTTTTGCTTCTGCTAGTTCTCAGTTTACCAGAATATGAAGGATAATTCATTTGAAAATTATGTCACTCGAAAGACAACCTTTCCCATCCAAGGAAACAAGCTAAACTGTGGCTAGTGAATGGTGGGAGAGCAGCACAGACCCAAGCACCTGTGGTAAGAAGTGCCATGGTCGAGGTGATGTCTTTATGACATGGCACTCATCTGTGCTGCATTTCCAAGGGGAAATGTTGCCAGAAAGTTTATAGGACCTCTGGATTGGTCTTCCTTTTCTTAGAGCTGAAGTCCTATATGGTTTTGTTCCAACGCATTTAAGTGCCTCACCCCTGGCTAACTTATTTGATAAGCTCATTAAAGAGAGCCCCTTCTGTGGCTTATTTTTTCTGGAACATTCAAGTGATCGCAAATGTGAATTTGACAGAAATGGCTGCACCCYTTTCCATTAAAACAGCACAAACAGTTACGGAGAGTAGGAAAATSAGCACTCTAGTTAAATGCTGAATTTTCTGAAAAGGCCTCCTACTCTGTGTGGGTGAGCAAATATTTCCAATCCATTCTGTGTTTGATTCAGCAGTACCTAAAGGCTCTGTATTATCATGGGCCAGAATAACAACTAGGAAAGACAAATGGTCATCAATTTCTAAGASATTTTTATAAAGGTGCTTTCTAATGCTCTTTCTGTAATATTTGAAGATCTACTCAGCTTCTATATAGAAAAGACTTAAAATACTGAACGGTGGTGAAATGACATTGTCCATGAGAGGGTCATGTAAGGGTGTTGTTTTTTTAATGAGCATGAAGTCCTTACATTTTTATTTCATGCAAATGAAAATTCACCAAACAATTCCTGCTGAAGGAGCACAATTCATGACTCRACTGGTTAAGCTTTAAAACACAAAACTTTGAAAGAACTAAGCACAGACCAGAAAGCATGGAAATTCCTCAGTTATGCCCAAGGTGCAACACTTCCCTGCGAAATAGGGGCCTCAAACCATGTGTTTTCCTGTGGAGATGTGTTGTCAGGTTTTGTGGCCTTTCCCTCGTGGATCTCTGCATCCATCGGTGCTTGGGAAATTAATGTCTATGGATTATAATCTACCTTTCTGAGTTTTTGACATACCTTTTATAAGACTCTTGAGTGTACAATTGTGGAAGTCTTGTCAGACTTTTTACCCAAAACTATGGACTRTTCATCCAAAAACCTAGTGAAACCTAATGTTGCTACTAAATGGGGACAAATCTTTTTAGGCAGTAAGTCATGCTTCATGTTACTTTTGAGGACACTGGGCCCTTCTCCAATAGGAAGTGAGGCTGTGGTGTCGGATGGACCCTGGCCATGTTGGTTGTGTTAATCCTGGCTTTGCGTGGTCTTTGAATGAGCTGGTGAAGGGKCCTATGCCCTGAGTGCTACCAGCTGTATTGCCTTCAGATGGACTTGTCAGACCTGCGGAAATGTCCTCCTCAGTAGGAGTCCTTGAAGGCCACCAGTGGTCAGAGGCACTGGCCAATCTTGGTAGCCATTTGAAACCATGTGGTCAGGACCTGCATGACCCCAGGGACCCCAGGCAGCCATGGCTGGGTGAGAGGAGGCTCTTTTGTGTCCAAGGTGGTGTTAGTAAATGTTCACTGTATGGCAGTCCCTTAGGGATCCTCTTAGAGATTTATTCTTCCTCTGCCAAACGCATCTCACGGAAGGGATCGTCTCTGTCTTTCTGTGGRCTATTCCCTTTGTCAGAAGAGCAATCTTCACTAATGTAGTGTATTCTCAGCTTCTTGTTCATGCTGTCACAGCCATCGCAAATTGCTGTTGCAGACCTCAGTCTTTTTCATACTTTCCTTCTTATTCATTCATGGTTGCATCTCTTTCCACTTTTAGCTGTAGATATTCACTGCTTTGAATACATTTAGCCCCCTCCATGTTCACACTTGAGAAGGAGCCATTTCAGAATAATTATTTCTGCTCGCCTCCAGAGCAATYGATACAGTGAATAAACCTAGAGGCAGCTGGTGTTTTAATCCATTCCCATTTTCTAGAAAATATTTTAAAGTGAAATGAATTGACTTAACACAGGATGTATGTTTGCTAAAGAGGTAATGGAGTGTCAGCGTGGCAAGGCAAGAGACTTTCCTTTTGAAGCTGCACACTGCTCACATCAGGATAAAAAGCAGAAGAGTGTGTTGTGTGTGAGTTGCATCTAAGTTTTGCTTCGCTTTAACACTATATGCAAAGAGAGACTGGTCTCGTTTGTGATGTGAAGCTATAGCTGGCAGCTGAAGGTCTTTGTTATTCTTCCCATGCCAGGGTCAGCTTCTCAAAACAGCTATCAAGGAACTCGCAGAACTGTCTGCCTTCATCAGAAACAAGCTGGACTGGTAGATTATGGTTGACAGGGAAATTTTGTCTTACTATTGGCAGTGCTTTTTCTACTCTGGTACTGTAGGGAGACCTTTTTTCATCAAAACTGCCTATGAACAGTTTTCATTGCCARTAAGGAAAAAACACCCAGCGAAGGAGGAAAGCTCCTTCTGAAACAGCCCCTCTCTCTTTCCTCGCAGGAGAGCATGGTCAGTTTGGAGCATGCCAACTAAACTAAATCAAATAAATTATTAATGCCTTGCAGGCGGCTTTTCTCAACTGGCTGAGGCAGGCAGGCTTCGATGGGGCGTATGTAACTTCAGCTCTGAATGTTAAAAATAGGCATCCACTCTCAGAGGAAAAGGAAGCTTAACAGACTCTTTTTCTCAGCCCAGTTTTAGTTCTATTATGTGCTATTTTGTCAGAGTGGATAGGACTTGTTATTTTGGATGTTGTGGGTGATCTGACTGAAAAACTACTTCTGTTTCCTTTCTGTATATCGCAAGCTTCTTTGAACTAGAAGCCCAATGTTTGCCTTGTTACATCCTTATCCAGAAAAAAATATATGGGATCTRTATGATTGTCTTACAGGTTTAACTGCAGACTATCGTGCTTCAACCAAGCAGCCACACTTCATGGTGACAGAATGTGTGCTTTGCTAACAGTTTCAGGTAAAAACAGTTGAAAATCTGCCTTTCTGTCTTTATTAAACTAAAGTTCAACAAAGAGAAAGGCTAATTTGAACCCAGCGACTCCTATCTTAACGTTTTGAAGTCACCTTGCTGCACTGATTYGATGAAGGACCTGCTGGCAGAAGCTCTATTGGTGTTTGAAGCACTTCCCTGGAGCCCCTGGCTCATGTGCTTGTCATGAGCACACCAGGGCTTTAGTTGTGGTGGGATTACATGAAATTAAAGCCTGATATTTAGTAGACTGTGGGAAATAATATCGATAATGATCTTTCATATTTGATATATGGTGCACAAGGTTTTGGTAGGCAGTTCCCTTGTCCAGCATTTAATTTTTAAATGGGAAAAGTAAATAAAAGCCATTAAGTATAGGGTAGCATCATCAGAGGTCATAAATTGCTACTTTCTTGGAGAGAGGAAAAAAAAAGCGGTGAATATCATCTTTCACATGATTGCAACTCCTAGGGATGAGCGTAGCTACACAGCATCAATAGGGATTTATAYGAACAAAAGCAAAGTTATTTATTGCTCTGAATGATTTTCTTTGAATCATAGAATGCTAGTAAACATTTCTTCTTTCTTTCTCATATCTATTAAAATCTTTCCATCAATAGGTGTCCTTGACTGACATTGCTGTTTTGGCTGAGAAAACACTATATTTTTACAGAGTATGAAGCAGATCTATTATGATATAAGATGAGAATCAACACTTTATTTTGGTTAAGATTTATATTTTTTGTGTAACAAATATTGAGCGTCAGTTCTGTCTAGCTATTCAATGAGTATCATTCCTTAAGTTAAGGATTTTTTCATTGGGATGTGGTAGAAATTAAATTCTTCCTCTCTTGTCTGTTTGTGGAGGTATGTGACAATGAGTCCTGCAATGTCAACAGAGGTGCYACTTTTCTGGCTATACAGCATGATGTTTTTCACATAGATATTCAAATGTTATATGGGAGATATAGTAAACTCAACGATGAGCATTGTTATGTATGTGTGAGTTAATGTTTGGGAATTTGGGAATGTGTTGTTAGGAGCCTAAGTCAAACTTGTGAGTAMTAGTAAAAACTGAATTTTGACCTTATCTTTGCTTATCAGATTGGCCCTGTATATTTTTTATTATTRTTTTATARAGCATTTAAGTGTATAGGTGATATATTTCCCCTGATGCTGAATTTGAACACACTGCTTCTACTTCAAGAGATGATGGCAGAGAAAAATCTGTTTTATCTYAGGTGTATTTTAGTCCTTTCATTCCAAGACTCAAAGATTTATAAAGGTTTATAGGAACATTTTCTGATATGCTCTGAAATTGTATAGTGTTCCCAGAGCCTTGCCCTTCTCTCGTTTCAGTGCATCATCACTCGCAGGTTTTGTGACATCTGGTGGCTGGCATATTTTGAGATATTTCAAAATTCCACATGAATCATTTTATTTGCGTCCGTATTGTTTTGAATGAACCATCTTCTCCGATATGCTAACATTTAAGCTCTCTTGCAATTTATACTATTAAGCCATGAAGAAAACAATCAAATATAGTAACAAAGAAAAAAGTGGAGTCTTTAGCTTGTGTTTTGATGATATATTAGTTTACAAGCTTTTGCCATCAAAACATGACCTTTTTTGTGTTTATTAAATTTAACAAATAATAACAGKTCATGACCCCCTCAAAAGGTAATTTTGCTACCAGTAAATTTTTTTAATGATTAAAGAACTTTACAATGGAGGGATGCTGAAGAGAGGAATTACATACTGCAAATGAGCAGGCTTTGCACCAAACTGTGGCATTTGATTTTCTCACAGCAATAACCTTTCTTGTCCTAAGCAAGMAATGTGATAAAAATTAGAAAATTGTGGGTTTTTTTCCTAATTCTTATGTCTTACTTTGTATTTCTCTCTGCTACCATCTATTTGAATTGTTTAGGTGTGAGAAAAGTGTTGGCAAATGGTTTGGAAAATAAACTGCCATTGGTTTCACTTGTTACTAGTGCTGATCTGCAGAAGCTTTTGGTTTGTTCCAAGCTGAGGTCTGTATTTTATTATCTGCTTGTGACATTATAGTAGTTTCCTAGGCTGCTCTATCACCCTTTTCAGCTCCCCCATTTGTTGTTACTCAGACGAAATTCATCTAATGGTTATGGCCAACTTTTTTTTTACTTTCTTGTCAGTATTTTTGTTTATAAAAGTATTCCTCATTTCCTTGATGCATATTCCATATACACAATGAGTGTTTTGAAGTTTATCTTTCATCTCTCAGTGGAGTACAATGAGATCCAAGGTTTTCAAGGGAGCCTTAGACCAGTGATGGAAGAAGCGCAGCTAATGAGATTGATTGCTGCAGGGAGAGCAGGAATGCATTTCTCACATGAGACAAGAGGAGGAGTTTGTTGCAGCACATTAAGTGCAGAGGGCAAGTTTGCTCCRTATTTTGAGGAGTCCACTTGCTAAACCTTCCTAACATCAGAAAATTTGTTTAGCTAAAATGGCCATGAGGGCTTATCTCATAGTTTTGCTGCTTGTGCTTCTGAAATCCTGTACAGTTATTTCAGCCCTCGAGCACAAACTTCTGTTTGTAAGGATGTAAGAATTATGCATTAGCAAGATGCTCTGGTGTGAAACACAGTGATATTTCTTTCCATTTTTCCATGGTCTTTCATGCAGGACTTGGTGGCCAGCCAAGCTTATCTTCCTTGTGCACCCTAGTTGACAGGAGCGATGTTGGTTAGAAGGGAAGGATCAAGGCCAGATTCTGAAGCTTTACCATACAATTAATGATAAAGTTGCCTTTAGGGCAATGCTGAACTGTTCAGCACATTAACAAACTGTTTTGGCTTAGATTAGAGCTGACGTTCTGAACATAATTGTGAACCTTACCAGGTGCTCCAGGTAATTCAGGTGTCTTCTGGATGACCTGGTGAGAACCCTATGTTGTAGCAATACAGCTGATTGCAATTTTAATGATGAGTATATACTACCCATACATTCTAAGTCTCTCTTACAGCAATGTGTCAAATTTCACCTCAGAGGTAGCCTCTCAGAGATGAGTTGATTTATCTTTCTGTTATATATGTATATATTTTGGAAAAGCTCTTTTTCAACCTTTGGGGTGAAAACAATTCTCTAACTATATAAAAATAAGATTTTTGCTATTGTTTTATATCATTTCAACTCCTGACTTGAGCTGACTTGATAGCTGARGCAGAGGTTACTGATAAACCTCTGATTTACACTTGTTTGAACAATGAGGAGTTAGGCTTCCTATATGCATTTATCTTCATTCATTGCATATAGGTATTCTGTTTTTCTCATGCAATTTGTCAGTAAAACATATGCCTAATTATATGCTTAATTTGCAAGCAGAGTAGATAAGAATGCATGCACAAATGGTGTAACTGCAGGTAAAAAAATAGTCATTTGTCTGTATCCAGATGAACTGCACACACAGATGAGCTGCTTTGTCACATGCCAGTACTGAGCCTGCATTTAGCTGCCTTGCGGGCTCTAAATCAGGTGCACAGAGCCTGGGGATCAGCTCTTTGCTGGGTGAACTTGATTGTCTACTGCCCCATAGCCATAGGTGTTTGTCATGATCTACGTTTATATAGACTCATAAAATAAACAAGATGACTGAATGTATTGGAAATATAATTTAAAAGAATAGTTCAATGAAAAATGGCATTTTAAAAAACTGCTTTTGACCACTTTCCAGACAACTGGAATATGAAACGGTCTAACATTTACATTTATTAGCTGASATTAAGAGCGTGGTTTGAAATAAAAATCAATATAGATTCCAGAGGATAAAAGGATTATTGTGAATGAAAAACAGCATCAGAGATGCCAAGTAAATAAAATGCTTTGAAAAAAAAAAGAACAAAAAATCATATTTCTATAGACCTTCTGACAGGGAATTGAATCTTTGATTCAATGAGTCCTAGTATCTGCTAGACAGTAGATTAGTATCTGCTAATTACATTTGATGATGTTGGAAAATGCATCTTTTTTTTTTTGTTTTGAAGTTTACCCCAACATCAGTGGGATCAAAATAGCTGCAGAAGCGCAGGAGTAAGTAAGAGGGCTAAGTCCAGATTTTGGTAGGGCTTTCTGACCTCTGTGTGCTGTGTGGTGTGTACTGCAGGTTACACAAGGGCTCTGGAGGAAGGATCAGTGTGGAGGTCAGAGTCATCCCAGTCAGGATCTGGGCTTCCATGGCAAGCCGTGTGGTCTAGTGGGTGAAGCAGCACGGTGGTCAAGAGCCCTAGGTGTTTTCCATGACTTTGTCACTGGGTGACCTTTGCAYGGGCATGCCATGTCACTGCCTCAGTTTCCTCCTCTGTATCATGTATTTAGTAACASTTGCCTCTATGGTAAGCTATATCAATAGAGGATCTTCTTGTCTAAGAAGTGGTTCTGCATTTAAGACAGCTGGGAAGGAAAAGGATTGATGGCACTGTATTCCTCCCCCCAGCGAAATAATTTTTCGGCAAGCAAGAAAATAAATGATCCTTGGGAGTTATTGGTTTTTCAATAGAGCCCTCAGACAAGCCCCAGATTTAGGTACAAGAGTAACCTGATGGGAGAGCTCTGAGCTTTGACTGAGCATGGGCAGTTTGGACTACAGTGTGAAGTTTTAATTTGCTTATCTGGTCCATCTGGTCTTTCAAATATATCTATTTGCATTGCTAGTTTCTTGATGGTGAGAATCATGTATAGGTTATTTTCCTTCCTCTATAGCATATGTGTTAGAAAGGCAAGGCACTACAGGGGATCTCTTCTGGCGTGAATCATGAACCATGTAAGAYGTATTTATTGTTACTACGGGCAATATATAACATCTGGAAAGAACATTGAGTGACACTTATGTTGCAAGAGTCTTAAAGTGCAGCACTTGCCTCCTTTCAGGGAACCCTGATGGTAATGACGGGCTGCAGCTATTATGGTTACAAAGGAAGTCTTAAAGTGTCTTGCTGCTGTGACA